GGTCTTACTGTGGTCCAGGTTCCACATGGTCTTACTGTGGTCCAGGTTCCACATGGTCTTACTGTGGTCCAGGTTCCACATGGTCTTACTGTGGTCCAGGTTCCACATGGTCATACTGTGGTCCAGGTTCCATGTGGTCTTACTGTGGTCCAGGTTCCACATGGCCTTACTGTGGTCCAGGTTCCATGTGGTCTGGGTCCATGTGGTCTGGGTCCATGTGGTCTGGGTCCATGTGGTCTGGGTCCATGTTGTCTGGGTCCATGTGGTCTGGGTCCATGTGGTCTGGGTCCATGTGGTCTGGGTCCATGTTGTGGGTCAGGTTTCATGCATAGAGTTAAGGTAACTAGAGTCACATGACCTGTGATTCACTAACAGTGGTGTCAAACTTTTTCTCTGACGACTGAAGAGCCTCGGTGGAACAAGAACAGTCCAAATATTTGTGGATGTGCACGTGGACTTTTGTGTGCACGTGAACATTTGTGTGCACGTGAACATTTGTGTGCACGTGGACACGTTGGTGCTCTCTTTAAAGAAGTTCTGGTTTCAGGTGGGGATGAAGGTCCTCGGCGTCAGCGCAGCAGTGTCTCTGGAGGAAAGAAAGCTCCAAAAAGAAACGCTCTCTACAGACGACTGCAGAACTTCCTGTACAACGTTCTGGAGAGACCTCGAGGCTGGGCCTTCATCTACCACGCCTACGTGTAAATATACCTGTGTACATATACCTGTGTACATACACCTGTGAACATATACCTGTGTACATACACCTGTGTACATATACCTGTGTACATACACCTGTGTACATATACCTGTGTACATACACCTGTGTACATACACCTGTGTACATATACCTGTGTACATACACCTGTGTACATACACCTGTGTACATATACCTGTACATACACCTGTGTACATACACCTGTGTACATATACCTGTGTACATATACCTGTGTACATATACCTGTACATACACCTGTGTACATATACCTGTGTACATATACCTGTACATACACCTGTGTACATACACCTGTGTACATATACCTGTGTACATATACCTGTGTACATATACCTGTACATATACCTGTGTACATATACCTGTGAACATACACCTGTGAACATATACCTGTGAACATACACCTGTGAA